CATATAACATGTCTTAAAGAGAATGATAATTTTATGAATCATAAGTCATATATTTGCCTATCCCGCGATCGCACGACTGATCAAAAAAAAAAAAACAAAAAAACAATAGATTCAAGTCGAGGCCAGAATTGGTAGAATAAGGTGAATGTATGGATTTATCCACCCCAGCCTCGATTTAAATCTATTGTTTTGTGAATAGACGTGCGATCGCGGGAAAGGCCTATATTGGTCTTATAAGAATGTTTTCCTATTCAAAGGACAAACGAAAATACATTGGGTTCCATCTTCATCTTTATGTTTTGCGCTTGCAAATTGAGAATGTATTCGTTGCACAGGAATAAAAGATGGCGGTCCACCATCCTCATAGCTAGAAAGCCAGACCTGAACTGGATTACCAATTTTATCGATACAATGATGACGCTTGTTCCACTTAATGCACCCAAATGAGTGTGGTATAGCTTGCCCATTCAAAATACAAGTGTGTTTAAAGTAGTACATGACTGTTCCTGGTCGCAGAGAGAAGGTATCTTTATTAATAGAGGCGCAGTTTTCATCCGCCCATGAGGCTAGAATTCTAGCAGAACGAATCCGTCTGGACTCAAGGCTAGAGCCAAAAGACGTAGCAGCGACGGTTATCGAACCAAATTTCTCAATAGTTTCACTCAAATGCGATATATCTATATCATAGCTTGGATATAGCGTCTGATACACTTTTAACAGCAAATGCGCGTCGTCGGAATCTATAAACGTGTATTTGAAGTTAGGGGGGTATATAACCGCAGATTGATTTCTCCAGACATCCCCAACAGGTAGTGGTGAAGAAACTGCAAGGTTGTGAAATGAAAATTTTTCACTCCATTCAGCACCATCAAGCCAATTAGCGTATTCATCAGCCTTGTCCATATCCTGCACGATGTGAAGGAAATTTTCCTTATATTCTTCGGGAAGCGAATCGTCTTGCAAAAAATGTGACATCTTAAACCTTCTCATCAGTTGAAGTTCGACAGATCGTTTATTTGTAGTATTACTTCCTAGGACCCCGTTATATCTTTCGAAACTAAAACACCAGAAGCTTGCTACAGGTCCGTGATCAAGAAGCACGTCTTTTAGATGGCAATGCAAGTGCATGTTAGGAGTTATTACTTCCTTTCCGTATAACATTTCGACTTCTTTACAAAATTTTACAAAAAGTCTGTCCGCAATTTCAATATCTGTTTTTGAAATGGTTGGGCTGCAAATATGTTTGCACGCTAAAACAAACGTTTGCCAGCAACGTAAATACTTATCCGGAAGTATTCCTTTTAAGCAGAACATAGAATATATCAAAGTCCAGTTCTTCCACTGCTCCGCAGTGAAAGAACCTGAATTAGTCATTATGTTTTTTGGCAGTCTGCCGATGGTGATGGGTACATCTATTTTCTCAATTCTATTTTGAATTTGATCCATTGCTTTTTTCGATAACAATTCGTTTTGAATCCATAAATTATACATCGTTTTTGACGTCCCTAGAAAAAGATTGTGCATGGGATCTACTGTGAAAAAGCGGATAGCATCAAAGTATTCCAGATCTAGGAGAACTGAATAATGCGTTATTCCATGTTCGCGACCAAATTCTAGTTGCTTTGTAATGGTTTTTATTTTTCTGATTTTTTTAGCATCTCTCCTGTGGTCGTCATTTGTTCTTAGTTTCCATGTTTCCCGTTCAAATCCCGAATAATCTCTTTTTTCACCAAATGAGCCAGGAAACTTCTTAAAACATCTTGAGCAGCCATAAATACCTGCGTGGCTTTTAAACCCTCCAAGTTTTCGTGCAGCTRGAACATCACAAGACACGGAAATAATTGCTGCTCTGAATGTAAGGCAAAATCTGCTTAGAGAGGATTTTAATCTGATGCCACTCCATAGGCACTGARGCTCCTTTACTGCCGGTTGAAGAAATGGACTCAAATCCTTAGGTTCTTTGTCCATAGACGGCACGATTCCAACAACAAGTACATTTTCCCATTTAAAGCGTTCATTTCGAGGCAAGTTAAGAAGTACAAGATAAAAAACGCCCACTGAATAGTCTTTCCTGTGTTTCATCGGTTGAAAAAAATCAAAATTAAGCATGAATGCATAGTTTCTTGGGACATTCAAAAAATCTCTCCCATTTACATTTGCAAACTCTCTCCAAAGCCTTCCGTCATAGATGTCTGCCATTTTTTCAGCACTCATTTTACGTTTTCTCCACTTTTCGCACTTGTCCGGAAAACCATTTTTCATTGTAAGTCTCTCAAGGCTGTTAATTATGCTATTGTAACAGTAATATTTGATGGGATAAAATGCTTGCTTCCCATTGCTTAATTTCACACTATAAACAATTGTAGCACCACATGTTTTCCGTTTCCCTCTTGAATAGAATGTTCCTGAACATGTTTTAGCAATTTGCTTGTCGCGGACAATAGAAAGGCATTCATTGTATTGATAGAGTTTACAACATTTTGGACATACGACATACTTATTGAAATCATCCCTATCAAAATTAACAAAACGTCTCAACATGTACAGAGTTCCTGGAAACACAGCGATTATTTGACTAAGAAATGTATTTGACACTTCAACTCCGATCAATTTAAGCCAGCTTACAAGAAAGTGAACAAGCCATGCCACAGCATTGTCACTAATATGACAGGTAAGTTGCCATACCATTAGGAAATGTACCATCCAAAATATCAAAGAATTTGCCTTCTGTAGTGACGTTTCTCTTTTTTGCGCATATGGGAGTGGTTCTGCTGCTTCAAAATTGAGGTCTTGCTGGACAAATTCTGGTGGGACATTGGACCATATTTCTTCACCTTCATCTTCATCTGTAGATGACTGGTTATCATACCCTTCATCTGGTTCACYCAATAAGCCATGCTGATCATCGCTTTCGTTTTGTATGTCATCTTCACAACCACTGAACTCCTACAAAAAMGTTTTTTCATTCATTATACATTTTGTATTCATTATAAAATTATCTCATACATTCACTTTTGTTGTGTCACAAATGTAAATGCGATATATGAAATTATATATGCACACATGATAATTTTTAGAAAATCAACCCCCCCTCCCTCCCGCAGTCTCTCACACCGTTGCCAACCGTTTACCCGTGCTATACTGCACGACGCTTTAGTATAATTTATAGATATGTTGTAGTATACTTTTAGCATAAAAAGATTAGATAATCATTTATTTCAGTATTGTTTTTTACTTAAATTTATTTAAGTATTGTGCACTGTTTTGAAAAAATTCCATATAACTTACACAATCATTGTCTGACCCACGTGTTAAGACATTTTCTTGATGTGCTCCTGCAATCTCTTCATTATCAGAAGAGTCAGTATCACCTTTGAAACGAAAATACGAACAAAGCTAGGTTTACTTAATTGCGAAATAAAGTTATATTTCAGAACATAATAAATTATTTTGTAAAGTCTTGTTAATACTTACTTTCGTTCGAACTCTGCGATGCCCTATCTGTCTTACTCTTTAGATCTTCACGTTGTCTTTCAAGGATTCGTTTTCTTTCGTGTCTTTCGWACGTTGACCTTGAAACTAGCTGATTGCAGTGATCGCAATGGATCAGATCTTTTCCTATTTCGTCCATATATTAAACCATTCTGTACTAAGTTTGTTCAATGTACGTAGACTAGCTCTTGAAATATTACACAACAGTGCACACGTCATGTACRCAATAGTTTGGTGACGTAAAAAAAAGCCCCGGGTCGCCAACAAGGTCATGACTACGTCTCACGGATGTTTATAGATTGAGAAAAGCAAGATACGTACTACATATATATGGCTGCCATTGTAAAATAAAGTTAACATAGGCATAACCAACTTTATTTTCTTATAAAATGACTTTATTAGGACAGACTCATGAAATTTAGACCTTCAAAACGTTCCTAGCACTGGCAAAATTTAAGACTTTAGTTCCGGCAAATAAAGCTCATTAAAGTAAGCCTTTAAACTTTAATGTAAATTTCCTGTCGACTTAAATCTCYTTAAATGCGTTATCAGTCTTTACTATAACTTTAAAGCACATCTAAACCTAACTTAAATTTTGATTTAGCTTTATGAATCTTTAGGGCCAACCTTAAAGTTTCTTAAAGCTGTAGAGACCTTAAAGTTTAATAAAGATAACTWAAAGTAATATTAAACTTATAAAGGCTTTAAATGACCTTTAAAATTCTAGTAAATGTTCAGTAAAGTTTATGTTAAGCTTTAAGTAAATTTAAATGGAAACTTAAAGTTTGATAAATATTCATTTTCGTCCTGTGAAAGATGATCAAGCTGAAATTTGTATCATTTCAAACATTCTTCTCGTTGAAATAAGCTGAAAATGAAAGGTAAAAATGCAGTCATATTTTAAGATGATTTTATTAATTTCTCTATGCGCTTTGATTGAAAAAAAAGTCACGAGTTCCAATTTTAAGAATCGATTGATGTTAACCATTGACGCCGGATCCAGGACATTTCAGTAGTCTTGTCACAGACTAGCTTTTTGATCAACCTCGTTCCCAGGGCTACTCTGCTCGCTTTTTTTCAAAATGCAGAGTAGCCCTGGGAACGAGGTTGGCTTTTTTATCCCACCGGATCAAAATTATGACGTAATACCACAGGTAATCCACAAAGCGTGCTCGCCGATGCGATAAAAGCGTGCGCATTCGTTCTTTTTTCTCTCTCAAGCAATAGTTAGGCGGCTTATGATTCACCTTGTTTATACATGTGCCCGTGAAATCTCGACGCACAACATACTCTTTCTACGTCATAAAACTTGTACCTATATAATGTTACTTCTTTCCCTATAATAGCTTATTAATAGCCTTAATCATAGCACTTAYGAAAACAAATAGCCAGGATAAAAAACTATTTGCCATTCAGGTTGTTTGCGTGGATTTATTTTTAAGAGAATTTTAAAATGTGTTTKCAAATGATGACAGAAATGTCAGTCATGAATGATTCYTATAAAACGAGGCTGAATTAATTTGTGTTTAGTTTAATTTTTGTGAGAATATCAAAATGCGACACACAGGACAGGTTCTTCTCGTTTGTTTTCTTCTGTGTATTTCTGCTGGTAAGTCATTTATCAATTATATTCGAGATTATGAAGTGAACATAAAAAGAGTTGTCAGCTTTGAAAGTGACGAATGTATTCGTAAAATACTGTGATCTACGACAAACACCTCCTCGCGAGTTTTTTATSTCCTTACTGCAATGTTATAGCTATGGTTTCTAAAAAAAAACAGCGTCCAATACGGAAACAATAGYGAAAAGAAAACTAGACAATTCTGTCCATGCTTTTTGCTCCAAAAAATTGATCTTGGGTAGTGCAAATGATATTGTTTAAACTTTCTCCATATCAGTACTGCCAAAAAATAATCTTGDAAAAACTGTTGAAGCATTCCGGCACAGGCAAAATAGGTAATTGCGTGAACAAAGGATGAAAATTTAATTTCATCCAATTTTTAAAGCTTCACAAGATACACACTTCAACAGTGTTATACACTCGACTAAAATAGATACTGATAAACGAGAAATGTACAACACGAAAAAGTGACATGTTATATCTAGCATTCTAGCACTCAGCTTCTTCTAAGATATAGGATAGCATTAATAGTTCAGTCTGAATGATATATATTACCGTTCTTTCTTTCTTTTCGGAATGAAATTATGAAAACAAAGAAGCTGACTGACCAGGTATAAACGGCCAATAAGCAATAGACGCTTGAAATCTGAATCAATTTGAGTAGCCTGAGATACGAAAAATTAGGTCTGATTGATAAGACTTTGACAAATAGCTTTCGCCGAGACTTCAAAAAATCTTGTAACAGCCATAAACTTTACAAATGTAAATCACTCCAAAATAACGATTTTCGTACGTACAGGCCAGGGACTACCAAGAATAGTGAAAACTAGTTTCGTTTATTAAAACCTCTTCAGTTCACTATATGTTTTACAAAGACATTCCTAACTTTCAAACAACAGTAAAAAATGAACTTATTTACTAAAGCTACTGATAAATGGGAATCAAATTAATGAAAATACATAAAAGGCGTCATTGTGAATAGGTAGACTACGAACCTTCTCAGAATTAATCAAAGTCATAGCCGACGATTGACATGTTGTTTGAACACTATTTCACGGATATAAGAAATATACTCTCAACCTCATAAAACAATACAGCAAAGACGACTTAAAATTAACAAAGATRGTGTTTCTAAAGTATTTCCATGTTTTAATTATACATAACGCATTCGTGAATGGAACCGTCCACGGCTGCCTGTGCAATCATATAGCAGGTGTGTACACTTTCACTAAACCGTTTGTTGAYAGAGTGGGTGTTCAGCTGAATTATTTCAGTTATTCTACAACTAAATTCTRTTTAAATTTCCATGGTTTTGCAAAACATGTGATCTGTTTCTATTTGAAAGGTTAAATTGATCTTAGTTGCTCTATTGAGCCGGAAAAAAGCGGCGGAAAACCGATGTTACCTTGAGGAGAAGAAAAGGACAATAAAGACACGAAACAAAAAATGTCGAGCAACTTTGCTGCAGTTCGAGTTTAGCTAGTGTTTCTAGTTTTTCATGCCCTGTTTTCTTTATCGCACAACTAGTTCCCAGTACATAGGCAAGGTTAAGAACACTTAAAGTGAATATCCAACAATGTTACTAGACTAACTGAGGCTTTTTGAATCCATATATTTTCGGCTTCACACTTGTTGCTCAGCAGTGTTGCAAATCTAGTTTCCTATTTTTTTTATGGATACGCGACAAGTTATCATTTGTCAAACAAGGTGGAAAACAAGAGACATCGACGCTGGCCGAAACTTGAACAACAATGTTGAGTAACAGGTTGAATAGTTCTCGACATTAAACGTGTAGGTCGTGTATATAATTCCCAAAGAAAGTTAGAATTGCTAATATAACTGAAACTGCAGTTACAACTTGTTAAAGGCTAGAAGTGGATTTTGGGTACTATACCCATATTTGCCTAAACGAGCGCACATTGTTAATATTTCTCGAAGAAGACAGAATGTTATACTGTACTTCAATGTGACACAACGTTTTGTTCAATTAGGTGTATTCTTGAAATGGTTAATTGTGAAATTACAAGGAAATTAGAAAAAAACCCTTAACTAAGGGAAGGTACGTTTATTATTGGGGGAGTGGGAGTGGGAGACGGGAGGGTCATATATCATGTAGGGGAGGGACACATCTTCACTCGAAAGCTTATCTAGGGGAGGGTCATGCATCAAGTCATGTTTTTAGGTTTTAGCTAAGAAAAAATGTTATACCATCGAGTCGATTTTTCATGGACCGACATACTGTAATGGGTTCCAGTGAGTACGCACGTTCCCTTCTCAATGCGTACTTCCGTACTTCTTGCGTCCATGTACCAGCAATGGAAACCAATATTATACTCTGAGTAAAAATAAACTAGCAAATTATTTGTTGAAACGCCGAAATTTGGCCTCAAACATTTATCTTCGAAATTGGTAATATTAGAAAACCAATCACATGACAAAAACTTCAGGACAGCGAAGTCAAAGCACAGAGATTCCGTCCAATTTTGTCATAGTTTCTACTACACGTTTGCACGTCCGTGAAATCGATTTGCGAATGAGATAAAAAGCAAATTGCTTTYGAGCGTTTTGAGACTCACTTTTTAGGAAAAAGAAACTAAAGGAAAACAGGATGACTTTTCGCTTTGATCAGTATCGACAACAAGAAAAAGATCATTGGAAATGCTGAAAAAATATGGGGAAACTCAGCACCGATCTGTGTGAACTCTTTTTTCATCAAACCTTTAGGTGGCTTGCTTTGCCCATCCCATTGGTGGGAATAATATCGTGCGTTTTCTGCAAACTTTGGTATAGCCCGAGACTTGTGAGTGTGGGGTGGGGGAGGGTCATCAGTATTTTTTGAACTTTTGATGGGAGTGTCAAAAGTTTAGTTGTAGAATTTCTGGGGAGGGTCACACATTCTTATGGAAAAATTACTCTGAAAACTCCAGCCCTCCCCCCCAGTAATAAACGTACCTTCCCTAACCCTAACTAATTTCCTACAAAATGCTCTCTATTACCATATTTAGTAGAGGGAGACTATCTCCCTCTATACTATGCTATAACGAAACCTATATTTATACTAAGTTGTTATTATCAGATTCCAAGCCGTTAATTTGCGACCAAGTGRCACCAAGCAGCATTAATCACTGTAGAAATGGGATTKCACGATATTATTTCAACAAACAAAAACACTCCTGTGAAAAGTACCAATTCTGCGGGAGTTTCCTGAATGATTTAAACTTCAAGACTATGAAGGAATGCCAAAGAACATGCTCCAGAGGGACATACGGCTTAGCTTGGTAAGATCATCACTTAAAATGGAGTTTGAACGAGCACTATCAATTTCAGTTTTTCACTATTTTTTTTCTTTTGCAAGGTGAAAAGCAGAATCAACAAGCATTATTGACTTCAATGGAAACAAATGTAAAAATATATCAATAAATGGCATAAATTAATGTGGTTTCAATTTGYTTTACTACACATCGTTCATTTCTTTATTAGCTATTTCAGAAAAGGTTGAAAGGYAATGTTTTACGACCAACAATAGAGGACTGCTTGCAAGGACAGATCCGGCAATTTTMAAAGGGGATGAGGGGAGGGGGGTCGTCGACAAAATGGCGGGAATTTTTCGCGAGAATTTGCCGTCCTTCATCAACTCACTTAAGTCTTCAAGTAAAAATGCAAATGATACATAAAAATTACGACGACAATCAAATGTGTTTTGAGAGTAATTTTATCTTTCGATGTTTTCTTTTGTATTTTTATATAATAGCCGTTAAAAGAACAGAAAATCCCACCCTAAACCCGCCCTTGTACGGGATTTTAAAGTTCGCGCAATTACCTCCAGTCCTAGGCATAGGCGAGAACTGGAGCTAATTTCAACGAAAATACTGTCAATCCTGAATTAGTTTGTCAATCACATCAATTATGTGTAGCGCGATAAACGCGAATGAAACACCCTCAAAATCAGTAGGAATYAAATAATAAAAGTTGTATTGAAATTCAAAACTTGAAAGCGAGCAAATGAAATAGTGATGAATAGCATTGAATGGATGTAGTTTAGATTAGATTATAGGAAAAAATCGCGCGCTTTAAAGGTTGTAAATTTGATGTAAATATGATGTACTTGTCCAAAATTCTGTAAATTTAATGGAAATCATTTACATCAAATTTACAGAATTTTGGTCACTTACATCATATTTACATCAAATTTACGACCTTTAAAGCGTGCGATTTTTTCCAGTGAATGCTATAGTCTAATCTAAACTACATCCATTCAATGCTATTCAAAATTCTGTAAATTTGATGTAAATGATTTCCATTAAGTARTGGTCCGAGTAAGAAGCAGGCAAGCAAACGGCAATGGAATGCATGAAGGTGCTRATTGTGTATTGTATAATCCATCCATCTCATTGGTTAAAACATTAAAAATYGCATTTTTTAAYATTTTATTTAATATCTGATTCTAACTTTMTAAAAGYTTTCCKTAGCTTTAATATTAATAGTAATTCTATGTGGGGAACATAGCAAATTAGAAGCATYTTTTGGCTATTGTTTTGAGTGCTTATGATTGGACAAGATCTTTTAATACAAAAGAAACTTTGTTTCAAAACAGAGTTTATCCACATTTTATTTCAAAAATGTGTTACTCATAGGTTGATATATAATCAGTGTGAAAACCAAGACATTCGTATGTKGGRAAGTTGCAATTGCCGCAGAACAATAGAAGTTTGCCTGCTTTTTGTGCGCATTGTTACTTAAATTTACAGAATTTTGGACAATTACATCATATTTACATCAAATTTACAACCTTTAAAGCGCACGATTTTTTCCAGTGATTATTTTATTTTTTTTATTTTCATGAAATAGTTAACTTATTTTAGTTAACTTATTAAAATAAGTTAACTATTTCATGATTGYCGTTGCAATAGTAAAATGATCCCTATTGTCTGAATCGTCTTATTGTTAGTAAGACTAGTGATAGGTTTTCGTATCTGTCTCTTATTTTACTAATGTTCTGTAGCTGTAATTTGTCCAAATATATTCATTCATACTATTGTACTAGACATCATTCWGGTGTAGATCCTGGAGGACCATAATCTCTTGAAATTTTCACAAACCCATTGATGTTGGCTTTGATTKCTCCATTACTTCAGAACCTCCAATATTAGGTTAGGTTGCATTTTATTGCTTGGAACAGATTCTATTGTTTGCCCATTGTTTTCTAAACCAATTATGCAGATTAGCTTTGAACAGTTGGTGGCAACCAATCTTTTGAGACACTTTCTACACTTTAATTTCAAGGAGCCCTSTATGAGTGCAGAAAATACATATGTGCCCTTGGCTTAAATTATTCTTGACCACCATATTCACCCTTCATCTTCATCTTCATTTCCAAATGAAAGAAGGCTAGTGTTTTTTATAGCCCTTGAAGAGCTCTTGGACTTAGAACTATGTTTGTCTTTTAGTCTCTTTTTATCATCCTTTTCAGCTGGTTTATCGTCAGATTTTCTCTTTTTTGGCTTTTTAAATATAAATTTCCCTTCTTGTTTATTTTCTTCAGTGAATTCAATATCATCATCATTTCCTGAGAACRAATAACTGATTAGATTAATGGAAGTGTCAAGAATAGTGCCTTGGTAAAGAGACTGATCATTAGAAAAATGGACACCGTATCGTAGGGAAATTGGAGAATTGCAAAGATATCCAGAATAACATTCATAATACTTTACGGATGGCGCTCCATAGGTGAGAGGCACTAGCCTGACTAACCACAGAAATCCTTTGGAGCATTTCTCTATGGTTGGAAGCCTTTGGCATAATCGAGAAGAGGACAATCATAAAAAAAACTCATCAAAGATAAAAAATGCCATAACAAAAATGTTGAATACTGAATGAACTTTTACATCTAACCTTCATCGCCTWGGTCACTTTGTCTTTTGGCTAGAAAATYACTCGCCTCTTCTTCGGTCACATTGGTTCCTAACACAACTGTYGGTAGCTCCCCCTCACGATCATTTTCGTCTTCACCTGTAGTCTTCTCAAGCTTTTTAAACTTACTCTCCACATTATCAGGCTCTTTGTAACCTATTTGATTTTTAAAATTCTTGATAAATGATGGCGTTTGCTTGACAAATTGAAGATCACGTCCYGCCATCTTGGATTTTTATTTTTTATCGTTTGGGARCCCTGTGGAATTTGTATTGGTCCTGCTGTGGTACAATACCGTAGAAGTCTGAGTCCTAGTGAGTCAGCCATATTGTCTTACATAAGCCAAAAACTTAGGGACAAAAACAACCGAAAAGAAATGAGGAGAAATAGAGTTTAGATCGGATATTCTATGAGTGCATATCTTTATATTTATTGTACACATACTCAAGTTTTAAATGGCGTTTAGATTTTGCCTTAAACCATTACAGCCATGGCTGAACTATTCCAGTTTTCGAGCGTCTATAACTCAGGTTTGTGCAGCAATGTTTATTTCAGTTACAGGCAGTAAGCTGAATTAAATGATTCTTTAGATTTATAGTCTGTTGTTGCTTATATGTTGGAAGTATAGTGGTTGACTTCCTGTGTATGTYAAAGAGATACTTTTGTGTCAAAAACATGTGATTGTGTTGTTTCAGGTTGGTCGTTTCTCATGCAGTAATAGAGTTTTGCTGACTCAGAAGACGAATCTACTTAGTGATGCTCTCTTTAGTCGTCTTAGATTTAGTTCTCAAGCACCCAAAGGTAAACAAAAGTGACCATGAAAATATAGTTACTGATATATTGACCTGCAATTAGTTGTTAATATCGTCAATAGGTTATGTAACTTACATGTAAGTGGTACAAATTCTGGTAAATTGATCGGACCATTTCGCTTGTTTCATTGAATCATGTAACTTAATTAGTAAGCTAATAGCTGTTGATGGATATTGGCTGATCCTACAMGTYCTATGTTTCTTTTGTTGTTATCTGGTATTCATGCTGTAGGCCAGAAAWGGTTCCCTTTTTGTGTGTTACACCAGTAGTCTCATTAGTCATTTTGGTCGTATAACATTTTGACATCATTCATACTGTATATCTGTTAGTGTATATAAGTATAGAATAATGAAATCTATCAGTCTTTCACTTTAAATTGATGTGTATAAATGTGAGTGTGGTAGCAAGTTCTGGCCAGTAAAAATGAATGATGTCATTAATGTTTTGTGTGTAATTCACATGGTTATTGGCCAAT